CTCTAGTACAACGGTTTTTTTTGGTCAACGCCGTCCATTGATATTATTTTTTTTTTGACGTGTTTCTAAACTTTTTTCCCATATGGTGTTGACTTTTTCTTTTTGATTTTCTTTATGAAATTACTTTATCCGCTAGTTATCAACTTTGATTTTTTTTTAAATTATCTTTAATCCCACTCCTCAACAATGTAAAAAAATAAGGAAAAAAAAAGTTAACCCAATTAATAAGAAAGTCTAACGCCGGAAAAAAAAATAATAAAACAATAAATAAATTATCGGCGTACAAAAATTGATGTAAAATATGTAGTAAAAATTGGTTAAGAGGTTAAATTAGGATTGGATGAAATTTTATGAGTTTTTAGAAAGTTTTGAAATAATACAGGGGTCTTATTTCAAAAAAATTCAAAGATAAATCCCAAATTCTACCCTAATTCATCCGTTGATCATTACTTGTTGACGGCCAAACAGATGGAGTGACTCAATGTGTCAAAATGTGGCATCATTAGAGTGTATTTTGTTGACAACGGTAAATGTGGCCAAACCAAAAGTGAAAAATGTGCAAACTTGGAGGACCAAAACCATAATTATCTTGTCAAAAGTATATAGCGTTTCTCCGGGAAAATTACAGTTTATGTCACTAAACTTTACCACTAAAACGATTTATGTCCTCAAACTTTTTCATCTATGAAATATGTCCTCCAACTTACCACATTTTAACAATTTATGTTCTTTTTTTGGATAAATTGACACAAGCACGTCGTTTCTTGCATAAAAACGTCAGGCATGTGTTGTTTTTCATGGATAAACGACATGGTTGTGTCGATTTTTCCACAAAAAAAAAGAGAAAAAAAACGATAGGCATGTGTCGAATTTTCCAAAAAAAAAAAAACGCCACTCACATGGCGAAATCAACATTTCGACAATTCATTTCACAAACACGCTCAAACGACCAAATTAGAAGCACCCATACACAAAAGACAATAATTCATTGTTCAAAACTACCAAATAGCAAGAGGAAAGAAGAGGAAACTTACTTTCTACTCCGGGCATGGCGGAGCAACGGCAGAGCTCGGCGGTGGTGGCGTGGCGGCTAGGGTTGAACGGGTTCGGGGAGAAAAATAGAAAGAAAAAAAAAATCTAATTTTGGTCTTGAAGTAGGAAAAAGAAAAAATTGTTTGTATAAATTGTATTTTGTTTGATGAGGAGTATTTTAGAACTTTGCTATTAAAATTTTCTTTTTCCGGTATTAATCCAAAAAAAAAATTTAAAAACTTTGATGAAATATAGGGTAAATTACAACCACCCCTGAGGTATGGTCAAATTACAAAAAACCCCCTCATGTTTGGGTAATTACAACCACCCTCAACTATAAATCTTCTTACACGTCCACCCTTGCGGTGTCAAATTAAGTGGAATTTTCAAGATTATGTGGAATATATCACTTTTGTACCCGTTTTATCTCATTCAAACTCCACATTTTGAATCACGATGATCATAAGATGTGTTTTTTGGCTTGTATATATCAGATTGTGGTGCATCAGAAACTGTATTTTTACACATAACGAGTACAAAGCACATTCCACAAAAAATCTAGATTATTATGTTGAATTTAAGGGAGTAGATGTAATTATCCAAACAAGAGGGATTTTTTCGTAAATTGACCAGTGGTGGTTATAATTTACCCTAAAATATAATATTAAACTAGGTGTATTGAATTGAGAAAAAACAAGTATTTGTTTTAGCTGCCCCTTTCCCCCTTTCAATTAAACAGACACATTATATGAATTATAGACATCCTTTTATACAACAGACCTTGCAGATTAGCAAATTCTAGGAATATAGCACAACAAATGAGAACTACAATGCTTCAATTCTTCAATATTACATAATAATTTTTACAACTAGGATTTCATCCTACTACATGATAATAATTAATACATATTACTATATTGACCTAATACGTACAATTACCTCCATATTATATATACTAGATTTTTGACCCGTGCGATGCACGGGATTGAAGTAAAATTAATAAAAAGTAAAGTTCAATTTAAACGACAAAATTAAGTTTCAATTCATTTTGATATTTTGCTATATATATTCATGATAATCCCCCATCCATAAATTTTTTTTGCCATATTTATTAATTTAACTTTATATTTTTTATGTAATATGGTTGTATATTTATCTTATCTCAATTAATGTTGAAGTTTAACGAATATTCTTCTTTATCACCCATAATAGGCCTCAGTAAATTTACTGTAAATCAATGATGCCATTAAATTTTAAGAGTTTATCAGGAGCAATTTTACTTTTATTAATAAGATAAGAACCAAATATTTTTCTAAACAATTAAATAATTTTTCCATCAAATTAATATTAAGTAAAAATGACAATTTTGGTGGGAAAAGATAAGTAAAATTGGGGCGAAAAAGTCTGGATACTAAACGGATTTATTAAACTTGATTATATTAAATATAGTATAACAATAAAATTAATTAATCAAATAAATGACAATTATAATTTATAACTATCAAATGAGTGGTAAGAACCAAATGTTTTTCTAAAAAAATAAATAATTTTCCCATCAAATTAATATTAAGTAAAACGACAATTTTAATGGGAAAATATTATTTTTATTAATAAAATAAGAACCAAATGTTTATCTAAACAATTAAATAATTTTTCCATCAAATTAATATTAAGTAAAATGATAATTTTAGTAAGAAAATATATGTAGATTTGGGGCCATCAAGTCTAGACAGACTTATTATACTTGATTATAATAAATATAATAAAACAATAAAATTAGTTAATTAAATAAATGACAATTATAATTTAT